GGAAAGTTTTTATTTCCCTGGGCAGCTTCCTACTTCCTACTTTATGGAGATGTTTACTTCTGGGAAGTGCTCTCTTACCAGACTGTGCTCAATGCAGATCCAGCTTTCCTCCCAGTGTTTGCCTACACCTCTTTCCTCAGCCATTAGGAATCCAGATGCAACCCTAGCTTTGGGAGGCCTTTGTCTACCCCTCCTGGTAGCCTTACTGTATAGGAACCATGACTACTCCATTCCAGCTCTCTATATTTCATGGACCATGGATATACACGCACATGTGGCTTCTGTAGTGCAGACCAATCCCAGAACAGGTTCTTCTACCCTACAACCTGAGCTTATTTTAGTTTTCTCAGGCCTAAGTCAATCCCAGTTCCACGTATCTCCTAAATGCAGGGAACACATTTTGTTGAAGAACAAATGGCCTGATAAAAAGAAAAGCTAAAATATTTTCTATCTCCCCAATTTTTGGGGAAATGAAACCTGCATCCCTGCCTCGGAGCAGTGGCTGGGAAGGGCAGAGAATGTCTCTCATTCTTTATGCCACAGGAGATAGCTAAAGGGAATCATCTGGGCAGAGGTCAGAAGATTTTCTTATCTGAAGTTGGTTGGGATTAATCTGGGTAGAGGGTGCAAGTCTGTATTAGCTGAAGATGGGATGAATCGAGGCCATGAGATTGTCTTGGCCCAAAACAGGATTGTGAAATCAGAATCTTTAAAATAAACTCTGTGCTTCTGCTCAGAAACAGGAATTTGGATCTTAAGGCCATTGTCTACCATTTCCCTTTCCCTTTGCCAGCAAAGTGATAAACTCTCCTTCTCCACCCACTTGTCCCTCTTTTTCTGATGCATCTTTGGAGGACAAGTGCAGAACTTTCAATAGCAATTTCAGATCTCCCTGTGACTCCAAAGGCATCCCCTTCATCAGGCTTGAGAAGGAGGTATAAACTTCCCACACCTCCCTACTGTGAGGAAGAATCCTGGTGAAGAAATCTCTTCACAAATCCTCTCCTCACCATGTCCTGGCCCCTTTTTATCTCCTTGGTGCGATTTCAGGGTCCAAGAGTCAAGGAACAGATCCTCAATCATTTCCTTTGTAAGTTCTGCATAAGATGATCTAGCTTCAGAATTTCATGTCTATTGTATCTTAAAATATCACTTTTGACATCCTGTCACAAGTACAATTGCTTAATCGTAAAAATTAAAAATAAAACCCTGGCTTTCTGATTTATTCTCCCTAGACACACTTATCTGAAGAGTTGTAGTCAGTTGTGGGTCCCACATTTTAAAACAAATACAGAAAATCCAGGATGCAGAAGAAATTCCAAATTAGGAAGAGTTAGAAACCCTAAGAAAAGAAATTGGGGGCTGGGAGTGGTGGCTTGTGCCTGTAATCCTAGTGTTCTGTGAGCTGTGGTGGGTGGATTGCTTAAGCTCATGAGTTTGAGACCAGCCTAAGCAAGAGCGAGACCCCTGTCTCTACTAAAAATGAAAAACCAAGGCAAAAGGATCACTTGAACCCATGAGTTCGAGGTTGCTATGAGCTATGATGTCACGGCACTCTACCCAGGGTGACAGAGTGAAACTCTTGTCTTAAAAAAAAGAATATATCCTTAAGAAAACATGGACCTGAGCTAAGAAGCAGTGTCTTTAAACATTTGAAGGGCTGTGAAGAGGATTTTTTCTGTTTAACTATAGGTGTTATAGTAGAAGTTATAGCAAAGCTATTTGGCTCATTATATGCAAGGGAGAGCTCCAGTGATCCTCCCATCTCAGCCTCCGCAGTACCTGGGATTACATGCACAAGCTACTACACCTGGGGAAGAACTTTCTAATTTCTAGAGCTGTCCAAAGACAGAAGGCTATTCTTGGGCAAGGGAAGTTTAGAAGTATCTCAAGAAATGGTGTTTTAGTTAAACTAAAATAAGCTTTAAGTTCTCTTAAGATTTTTGAGGACCTCCAATTCATCTTGAAAAAATGTCCACTTTTACTCTCTGGTCACACCTGGGACCATACATAATGGCTTTTTGTTGTTCAGACAGAGTCTTACTCTGTAGCCCTGGTCAGAGTGCAGTGATACTATCATAGCTCACTGTAACCTCAAAGATTTTCCTACCTCAGCCTCCCTAGCAGCCAGGACTACAGGTGTGCACCACCATGCCCGGCTAATTTTTTCTATTTTTAGTAGATTTTGGAGAGGCTGGTCTCCAACTTCTGGGCTCAAGCAATCCTCCCTCCTCGGCCTCCAAGAGAGCTAGGATTACTGGCATGACTTACTATGCCTGGCCCATAAGCATTTTGAAATTTTTCTGCCTAGAACTCAGGGTGCATTTTTGTATTTTATTACTTTGAAAACATTTTTAAAACTATGTTTAACATCTCTGAAATCACGATGCATCTTATAATTTCTGCCTTGCATAATTTTAATTTCTTTTTAAAAGTTTTTGTTTATTTCAGATTAATATGAAGATACAGGCATTTAGCTTACAATGTTTGCATTTGTTAGATAAGGTCCCTATGGTTGTGTCTTGCACCCTGGAGGTGTGCCAGGTACCCTGGCTGTTGCTTTGTTTTTTAATGGATTCTTTTTAAAATGGTGCACTGGCAATGGTCTTCATAGTAAAAAGGATGATACAAGAATAGGAAAACATGGACATTGTTAAATCTGAGTAGAAAACTGATTCAGAACAGTCAGGTTCTGAATGAAAAAAAAGTTTTAGGAGTATTTGATCCAATTTATTTCATTTATGCTTCCCTGCTTAAGAATATATAAAAATGATTTAGTATTTTTAAAAGTCTGTTTTCAATTAAGTTTAAAAGACATTGTGTACTTACTTGGCCATGTTTTTCCTTTCTTATTATTTTCTTTATTGGGGCATCCTTCAATTAATATCATTTTAGAGACAGTGAATTATAGTCATAATGATACAGGGTTCCCCCTCTCAGGGCTGGACAGAGACCCCCATTTTCTAGGCCTAGGTGAGCTCTGAAATCAGTCTCATCACAGATCCCCATCTGTAGGTACAAAGAGGCCCTGTCCAGGCCACATTCAAGTAAGGTCATGAAAAAAGCAGCCTGACTGCTTTTATTTTTAAAAAAGCAGCTTTTTTATTTTTATATTTTGCAGTTTTGGCTGGGGCTGAGCTTGAACTCGTCACCCTTCACTATATGGGGCTGGCGCCCTACTCCTTGAGCCACAGGCACTGCCCCCTGACTGGCTTAAAAAAAAAAATAGCCGGCATTGTGGTGGGTGCCTGTAGTCCCAGCTGCTTGGGAGGCTGAGGCAAGAGAATCATTTAAGCCCAAGAGTTTGAGGTTGTTGTGAGCTGTGATGCAACAGCACTCTACCAAGGGAAACAAAGTGACACTCGGTCTCAAAATATGTGTGTGTGTGTGTGTGTGTGTATGTATCATTCGATCTAGAAATTCTACTTCTAAGAGTTTGTGCTACAAATATATTAAGAAATGTCTTTAAAGATATAGGTGTAAACTTATTTATTGCAACATAATTCAGACTGCAAAAGTTTAGAAACAAACTCATATTTGATCAATAGGGACTCACAGATGTCATCTCTTTAGCAAAGTGATTTCTGGCTCTCCACCTTGTGCTTTGGGTCCCTCCTCTGTGCTTCTAAGGACCTTAGCACCCCTTGTTTTGAAACCTCTAATATTGAAGGGATCTTTGTGTGTCCCCCATGAGGTTTCTGTTACTTCCCTCATTTTGCAGATGAGGTTTGGGCTCAGGAGGCCTGACCTTCCCGCCCATAGAGGGTGAGCCAAAGCATCTGCACAGGCACAGAGAGACATGAGGAAGGGAGGAGTAGGGGAAGAGGAATGGTCAGTGCGGCTGCGGTACAGGAAGAATGGCTCTCTGTGCTATGGTAGCCGGTGTGGACTTTAACCTAGAGCAGTGGCTCTCAACCTTCCTAATGCTGCGACCCTTTAATACAGTTCCTGTGGTTGAGAACCGCTGACCTAGAGAGTTTGATTTCGTTTCTTAGAGGGTAAAAGTCACTTAAGCACAGAACTAAAGAGTTCCACAGAGTAAAATCAAAGTAAGAGATGGAGACTGCATGAGGACAGAATGAAAGAGTAAGACCCAGAATGAGACCTCTGGGAGGACCAGTCACGTCAGCCCTGCAAAGAACTGATGGTTCCAGTAAGAACCCTTGAAAATGAGCGGAATAGTCTATGACTTTTTTTCTTTCAGGTGACAGTAAAGCCACCATGCGAGATAGGGTATGGATCCGTGCATGTGTTTATCTAGGAGAGTTAGTGATGGAATGGCTTTTAGGAAAGAAAAAAGCTGCTAAAAATTAGAATTCAACTTTAAGGATTTATCCAAAACTTTACTCAGAGAGATTTCCTGATGCTAATATTACTTGTCTAATTTAGGGCATGGCCCACCTGCAGCTACCAGTGCCCCCCAGTCCGTCTAGTTACACTGGGGCACGGGTGCTTCTGGGTAAGTCTAAGGGAACCTGACCCTTCTCGCCTGGGAATGGGAGGCCATATGATTACCCTTCTCTCTCTAAAAATAAATAAAACCCAACACTTTCAGGATATAAACTCGTTAGTTATAGGACTAAAAGTCGTATCAATATTAACAGACGTTAAATTCGTTATACTAATTACAACCTGACCCTAAAATGTTCTAAAGGGCTCAGTGACCTCCATGAACTTAAGTACCAAAGAATAGCCATGCTCAAATATACTGGCCAGGGCTATACGAAGAGCTAGGGATGAGGGAACGCCTCCGAAGGTAAACCGCAAAGTAGTAACAGGTTTCTACTTCCTCGCTGAATTCTGCCGGGAGAAGGAAGAGATGGGAGAGAACGCTTGTGGTTACAGACGGCTGTGTGAGGTGGAAGTCCTCAGCCACCGCGCGTCATGCGGACGGCGCTTCTCACAAAACCACAGCACAACAAACGGGCCCAAACGAAGACGGCTTTGAAAAGTCCCCAGAGCGGGAGAGCGGGAGCGGGGAGGGGACAGCAGCTGCCCCTTCAGCTCTCCACAGGAGTGGTCTCTGGGGTCCCTGGGCTCATGGCAAAGCGGGAGGTGGGGGTCTCGGGGGCTCCCCTGAGCTCCAGGAGGGCCTGTGGCTCCTTCAGTTCCAGGACCACGCGGCTCAGAAGGCCTTTGAGCAGCTGCATTTCTCGGAGCAGCTGGTCCACGTCGGGTTTCAGGGCTCTGGCCGACTGTTCCAGGGGCGTCGGCGGAGCGCAGGCAGGTGGCCCAGCAGTGGGGCCGCCGCCCGCCGGGAACTGCAGCCCCGCGGAGGTGCTGTTCGGGGCCGAGGTGACCGACGGCACCGATCTGGACACCGGGGGCTTTCTGAAGGAAAGCGGCTTGTTACCGGGCGCCAAGGCTGCTGCCCGCAGGGCGGGGGCTGTGGTGGAGGCCGGGTTCAGGTGAGAGCCTGCGAACGACCGCGCACTCAGTCCTTTCCTCTGGGCGTCGGGGCGGGGTCGGGCGTGGGACGGTGGAAGGGAGTGAGCGCGGTCGGAATAGGGGTGCGGAGGGCGGGAATGGGAGGTGGGAAAGGTGGGGGCGGGACAGGAAGGGGGAGGCGGAGGAGCCTTCTGAGTGCAGAGAGGTACTGCAAGGCTGCTCGCCCGGGTGAGCGTCCCGGGGCAGGGTGCGGGGACGGCGATGTCGCTTACCGCGCCCTGGGAGCTGCAGCCACGGGCTGCGTTTCCGGACGCTGCGGGTGGTGGTAGCCGCCTCGCACCAGTACGATTCGAGCTCTTCGATCTCTGGCTCCGGGACCGTGAACTCTGCGCCCCAGTCGAAGCGGCGCACCGTGCGACTGTACTTGTAGAAGGCGAACTGCAGCGGCGTGTCGCGCTTCTGTGGGTGCAGGAGCGTCTCGCAGCGCAGGACCACCCCTCCGCGGGCCTCCTCCGGACCCAGCACCCTCAGCACCGGCGCCTGGAACAGCTCTGCGGAGAGGGCAGGGAGGAACCCAGGCCGGCTTGTTTGTTGCCCGGAGACTTCTCTTTGGGAGGAGGGAGGAAAGCCTTCTGAAATGTGGGACGGGGACCGAGACTGGGGGAGGCCAGACCAGATGTTTCATATCTCATCCCTACGGACACGCAGCTCGAGCTCTCCGGGCTAGAAGAGGGTGTGTTGCGTCTGCCTTGAGAAACACTAGGCCTCCTCCCCCTCCTCTGAGTTCCACCGCTCCCCCTGCCACCTCGCTGCCCTTCTTGCTGGGGCTGGGGCCCGAGCTCCCCTCCATGCAGGGTATGCTGAGGCGGAGTAAGAAGACACGGTGTGCGTCAGCGGGAAGGGACACTAGCCTCCCAGCAGGCTGCAAGTCAAGCTGTCCACTACGTAGAAGAGGAGAAAGCACTCAAGGTCTAGCAGAGAAATCCACCAAGTAGCAGCTAGCTATTTGAACCTCCTTTCCCCTCCTGATTCCTGTCCTAGCATTTCCCACTGCTCCCTTGCCGCCCTCCTGAGCCCCAGGTCTTTCCCACCTTGCACGGTTACAGCCACCTTGGAGGAGAACATAGGTGCACTCTCCACTGGGATACGCATGGTGCCTGAGCACTGGTAGCGCCCGCTGTCGCTGGCGCGCGCCTGCAACACGGTGTAGTTGGCGCTGGAGTGGAAGTAGCGCACGGCCTGGTCGTCGCGATAATAGTGAAGTTTGTAGACCACCTTGTCGTACCAACCGCGACAGCGCATGACCAGTGGCTCGCCCTCGAACACCGCAGCATAGGGCACTTGAAGGATCAGCCAGTCTACGTGGACACCACAGACACGCTTGACTTCACAGAAAATCCAGCCCTCCAGGCCTCCCATCCTCAACCTCCCCGCTCTCCCTCACCTCCCATCAACTCCAGCCCTCTTTCTTGAGACGCCAGGCCTTCCCTGGCAATTGGCACCCAGAGCTTCCTAATGCAACGTGCTTCAGAGATGAGTGGGGAAGAAGGAGGTAGGCTGGTCCTTCATTAGGATCTAGGCAGCCAAAGACGCCTGAGACTTTGTTCTGGTCTCAGGGACTACTGCCCATCAGAAGCAAGTTTAAACTCCTTCGGATAGCATCAGGGCCTTCCTACCAGGGCCCTGCTTACCTCTCCAAAACTATGTCAGCATTCTCCCCTGCCTTATTTCTTTACCCTCTTGACCTTCCACTCCTAACAAAGGCTAAGTTCTAGCCATGCTGAACTGCTGAGAGACTTGGCCCTTCTCCACTGCCAAGGCCTTTGTACCTGCTATTTCCTCAGCCAAGAAGTTCCTCCTGTTTAAGCTGAGGCCTACTTGTCCTGCGTGTCTAGGCTTAGACCTTATCTCCTCCAGAAATCTTGTCTCAGGATAGGCATTTCCCAGAGCACTCATATGTACACAGTCACTAGTAGTGGGTGCTATACCGGTGCTCCGGGAAACACCTAGCTAACACTCACACAGCCCTAGCCTATGCTAGATGCCACTTTAGGTTTAGGTGGTGTACATTAAGAATTCTGCAAGTATTAACCACAAGCTGTATACACTCAGTCTCTAAGCAGTAATCACTATTTATCTTAGTCAATATATGATTGCGTTCACTAACAATTTCCAAATAAGAGACCACAAAGTCTGAATATGAAGTGTGTGTAAGTGCTAATTTGAACCTTAAATGATGTCCTTTAAATTCTGAAAACAAATTGTGCCAACTAGGCTAAGATTATATAGTATTTCCTGTGTGAGATGGTCCATCCT